GTTGTCAAAGATGTTTCAGTGATGTGGTGTATCACATGCCCATACCTTATCCAGAGCGTAGTCGGTGACCATGACGAAGAGGTTATAGGTGAGGCCCTCGGTGTCACCCTTGGGCAGCAGCAGGTTGTGCGGAAGGCCACATCCGCAGAAGGTAAACTCGTCACGCCGCTTGCCCGTGTGCGCCGGTCTGTTGGCGTTCAGGTTGCGGAAGGTACGCTCAAAGGGGATGGTCAACGATGAGTCGAAAGATTTGCGCCGTATCACGTTCATCCCTGGCTGAACTGCATAACATCATATGTCAGCCCTTCCTTCATTCTTATTAAATACATGAAATATGGATACAAGTAGAAGACACACAAATTTTTAGGGGTTTATTATGATTAATTGGAGGAAAAGCGTAATAATCGACCTGTACTTTGAAAAAATGTGACATAATAAGGATCAATACGGTATAATTCTTTGAGAGTTGACAGACTCCATCAGGGCTTCTTGTTAAAGTAGGCTGTTGTACTAGATCACGAGACCTTGTTCAACCCGCATTTTCAAATTTTTTGAAAACAAACTATTCAAAAACATTAATCTATTTGAAATAAAGGAAACAAAAGATTTCCATGAATATTTTGAGAATTTTGACACTTTATCTAATTTTGGCTCCTAGCTATCAGAGCTATTATTTAACCAAAAGCCGCTTCATTATGTTAAAAAAATTAAATTTCCAAACTTTATTTACACACGTTTTCAAAAATTATGAAAACACCGTTAATTCGGATTTGTCTTGCAAAATTAAAGAAAAAAAAAGGAATGTGAAATGTTTTGGTCCGATCAGAGACAAAAACCCATTTTTAGCCCAGAAAGTTGTAAAATAATAATAAACAAGCAGGCCCACCCTTCTGCTAAACGGAGGTGTTTGACCTCTCTTCGCCTGCAACACCTTTCGGCAGGGGCCAGGCCTGCTTTGCTTGCCTGAGGCGTTTGGTTAGGCCTAAAACCCGATTTATAAGCCACTTTCCATAATTAAATTAACTCTTAGGCTTCAGTTAGGGCTTGCGTCCCTGTAGGATTTGCTTCCCTTAGAAAAGGGAACTATGGAACCGCCTGCTATTTCAAAGCTGAAGGGCAGGATAAAAACCACAATAATCTTCCCAAATTGTATTAAAGGTTACTAACTCGGCTGCTACTAATTTATGGTGTAAGGTATGATGGTAGTGAATTCGTGATACTTACGCCTTGTTACGAATTTATCCATCTCGATCATGAAATGCCGCTGGTCGTTAAAAACCATAGACCTGCCGTGCTCATCGAACTTCGGCGCGAGGAAAATGCGAACGTAGCCCTCCTGGGGGGTTATTCCCTTGTTTTCAACCTAAACAAAAACAAAGTTTCCGTTTTTTAGCATGTCTAACAAAAATGTCAGGTTCTAAAAGAAAGGAATGTTGGACTGTGATTTCAAATCTGAGATGAGAGCGTCAGTTTACATACACGGGAAAAAATTGGCCCATAGCGAGAGCGTATATCCAGCAATCTGATCCCCACCCGCTGCTGCAGCACTGAACTAAGGGTGGCAGCACTGAACTAAGGGTGGAACTGCTTAACATTTGCAAGAAGTGTCCAACTCCGTAGGGCAATTCGGTAGGTGTGCACTTGCAAGTGTGCAGCTTCTTTGTTGAGCACTTCCTCCACAGTGAACGTCCTAAGAAATTGTTTAACAGAGGAATTGCACACTAGCAAGTGCACACACAACGAGTTTACCTGCAAGTGGACAACTACTGAGTTGTATACTTACTAGTGTTAAAATTGCTGCTGCCCGCTTACAAGTGATAAGCAGTAGCACACTTAGACTACATTAGCCGCATCTTAAGGCCCACAAGCTTTTGCCCCTGGCAGGGTATCCCGACACCCGACAAGTAAGGGCCTACGCGTAAGCATTTAGAAAAATGAAAAGTTGTCATAGCCATCGTATGGCTTGTTGAGGGACAACCAAAGAGTGATGGTTAAGGTAACGTTAAAATTGTTCTGAAAACGAAAATATCATTCTGACAACTGTAGGATTGTTAATTTTTTAACCATATTATAGTTCGCTCGTCCCTAACTCAAGGCAAGCACGGCGCAGCGCCTCTAGAAAAACCAAGTATCTTTGCGCGACGCTCGAGAAACCAAGTATCGTTGCGCGACTCTAGTGAAACCACGTATCTCCATTTTTGGGTGATTTTTGAAACCTATACCATTCGATAGAGAAAATTTCCCTCTATTCAAATATATAGTTCCTAAAAAATCGTCAAAAAATGCGTTTCGTATGGTTTCACTAGAGTCGCGCATCGATACTTGGTTTCTCGAGCGTCGCGCAACAATACTTGGTTTCTCGAGCGTCGCGCAAAGATACTTGGATTCTCTAGAGGCGCTGCGCCGTGCGTGCTTTGAGTTAGGGACAAGCGAGTTGTCCCTGATGTAACCACACGATGGTTGATACGACCTTCCATTTTTCTGGGTTTGGAGTTTTGCGCAAGCGGGATCAGTGCACTGCCATGCCTTAGTATACCCTAGTCAGTCCCCCTCAGGGAGCATCGTGAGGGGACAGGCCTCTACAAGCCCGCTGGCTAGTCCAGCAAAAGCCCACACCCTTCACAAGTGATAAGCAGTTGGACGCTTAAATTATAATTGAGAACTCTGTTCCAGCCCACACCATCGTTAGGGCAGTGGACTCGGCTCGTCACGGATTCCATTAGATACGACTGTCGAGCTATGCACATGCATATATTAATGGCAAGTTATTTTTTTTACCCTTCACAGTTAACGAACTAGAGTAGGATGAAAATGGACCGCTCAGAACATCTGTAAGAATTCGCTTTGAAGATGAGCCCACCAGAATGCTGTAGTGGAAGGGATGGTGCTGTAGGAACGTCAGTCGTGCGTAGACAGGAGGACGAGGTGCGAAGTCTAGTCCCCGGGACAGCTCCAAGTCGTTGGCTTCCCAGTAGGTGCCAAGCAAATTGGGCTTATTGGAGCCCTCAGTGAATACATCTACGCCTCGCACTGCAACTCCCGGAAACTCCAGCTGCACATGTAGAGCACTTTTAGTAGTTTTTTGAGTGGATTAAAGAAATAAAGTACTTTCATTGAACGTAAAGTGCCCTAAAACCACTTATACGCACTGTTAAAGTCTTACGAAGAAAAATGCCAAATCCTTTGTAATACGAAGGATTTGGACGCTTCGTAAGGAGAAAATCCTTCGTAGGTACGAAGCATTTGGCATTTTGCTTCGTAAGACTTTAACTGTGCGATACGCAACAATTCAAAAATACGGACGCACTTATAGAAAAAGGACGGTTACCTCTCTACGGGAGTAGCTTGGCATAGTATCCTTGTACTTTCGCATGATGTCCAGGATGTAAGTGTGCCATCGATAGAAGACTGGGTCTCGCAGAGACACGGCAGCGTCCCCCATGACACCGAATGATTCGAGATATCTGTTCTCCGGGTCATGCGCCAGCGATATGATGATGTGTCCCTAGAATGTCAGCGCGGTGCACAATTAGGCTGTAGACAATTTTTCATGTAACGGGTAAACTGATTCATGCCAACGACCTGGTAGACTCAAACGTTTTGAAAATCGGCGAAACTTTTGACATATGGGTTCTGAAGGGTGGCGTTTTTTTCTACGACGCTCTTACTTAACTACCAACAGCTGTGTTCTTATTACAAAGAATCCAGAGCAGCCATATTACAAACGATTTTTTTTCTTCATATAATGAACATCCTTAGATCGCAAATGAAAATAGGGCAGGTGTCAACGAGACATAGTACTCCCGGTGTCAACGAGACATAGTACTCCCGGGCCCAGGGACCCCCCTGAGTACATAATCCCTAGGGCAGATGTACTCCCCCTATAGGGTGGAGTACACCATCCCTAGGACAGTTGTACTCCCCCACCTCAAGGGGAGTGGAGTACAACTGCCCTAGGGATTATGTACTCCAGGGGGAGTACACCATCTCTAGGGCAGTTGTACTCCCCCACCTCAAGGGGGGTGGAGTACATTGACCCTAGGGACCATGTACCCCAGGGGGGAGTACACGGTCCCTAGGGCAGTTGTACTCCCCTTCCTCGAGGGGGGTGGAGTACAACTGCCCTAGGGAGAGTGTACTCCCCCACTGGGGGGAGTACAACTGCCCTAGGGAAAGTGTACTCCCCCCGGGGGAGTACATTTTTCCTAGGGCAGTTGTACTCCCCCGATTTTTAAAAGAAGTCGTTGCAAGTGCTTTCTTTGAACGTCAATATTTGGCGTTCGTCAACCAGTTTACAGTGAGGAGTCATGGAAACGTGTCCGATAAACAAGCTGGGCTGGCCCGCTATTCCACCAAACCAAGTTGCCAGCTCCGCTTCGCTCCACCGGCAACTCAATTCGGCAGGGAGTGGGCCCAGCTTGGCCTGCCGGCGGCGTTTGGGACGGGCCTGCGGCCCCCGTTTTAAGGAATCTAGTTGAAACAACCATTCCCGCCCAGTATATCCTTGCCGTCTCCTTCGTTGATGAAACTTAACATCTTAAAATTCTCTCAGTACGCTGTACTGTGCCGTAGTTTCTAGAATATTTGCAGTTTTTTTTTGCCAAACTCCGCCCAATTTATTGATGTTACCTTTCGGGACAAATAACGCATTGCTTACATAAAAATGTATATGACGACACACAGAAGATAATTGGTATACTGGCGGGCATGTTCTAAAATGACTCCGAATGACTTCGAACGTGTCCGCTTTGATTTCTCTATAATAAGAAGTAGTAGCATAAAAGGAGCTTGTACAATACAACAAAACAACGAAAGATAATGATTAGTTTTGCATGGAAATGGACAAATATCATTATGGATGTGCCTCCATTAACTAAGCCCACTCTTCTTCTTAGAGGTTTTTTTTGTACCAATGGCTCTACTTAGAAAAAGGTGTAATTGTGTGAAATAACCCTTAAAAGGCTATATGAAAGTGCCCAGTCAGAAATTTTGTTTAGTAGCTATTTAAAATGGAAAAACTATATCTAGCGCCGAAACAGTGAGATACAGCAAAACGAACGAAATTTTCGTTCCAACGGTTCTACTTTTGCCAGTTACACCTTGGAACACCGTAAAAGAACTGTTTATTTTTTCTACATTCCTCCTACCTTGTCTTGGAAACTCTGCATATGGATATGGTGCAGAGTAAGGGTAAAATTATGATAATGCGTGAAATCGCCTGGGTTGAATTTATCGAAAGAAAGTAGACAGAAGTTCAAGGGGGCAATAACTCCCCTTTGAAGTGTACACATGATTCCCGAAATTCTTGATTCCCATCGATTCCCGTCCGCTTTTAATTATTGCATAGGTTTTTCGGGGGGTTTAAGTGGTATAAAACGCTTATTTCGACTGATTTGTACTTATTTCTCTAGTTTCCTGCTTGTTCTAGTCGATTTCTATTGATTTTGATCAATTTTTATCCTGATGATTCCCAGACAGGTGTACACATGATTCCCGGAGTTATTGCCCCCTCGCAGAAGTTATAACAAAATTTAACGTTCAATATACCCTTCTTACCGTTCTTATTTCCGACGCTCCTATGGAATGGAGGACGGAAATGTTCGATTATTCTACTTTCATTCGTACTTTCCTGGACTTTGAGGGACGTTTTCCTTGACTTTGCAAAATAACTCGTGATTTTCACTGGTTTTCGTTACTTTATTGCCTTTTCCCCCTATCCGAATCTTGTAAGTGATCACACAAGCTCCTACGAAGGCCTACATAGCTTTGAACCGAGGGGCCGACAACTCGCCTAAGGCGTGTACTTTTGCCTATAGATTGAGAGAGTATAGCATGATAAGATTATTATTGAATGATAAGATTATAAAAGATTACACTCTAAAAAAAATTAATACAAAAATTTGTAATTTGGATATGCAGTTTTTTCAGCATCCATGAAAAATTGTATTCTTTTGGATATAAAAATAAATTTGTAACGTGGATACAAAAATTTGTATCCATCGATACAGAATAAAACATTTCGTTGTATGCTCTGACACATAAGAAAAAGGGATTTTTTTTCTCTTGCATGTCTTATTCTAGACGTTTCACTCTCATCACAGACAATTAACTTCAATGTAGTACTTTACCTTACCGGTATTTGAACCCCGAACCTCTGGGTTGGGATTTGACGCCCTAGCCCACGCGGCTAAGGCGACTACCTGCGAGCAGTCGTGCTCCGACCCGGTGTCGTTCTCACCCGTCTACTGGTTTGCCCCAGAGCCTTTCCCATAGCCATCGAGCTTTCAGATGGCAATTCTATGTTAATGCTTTGGGAATAGATTTTATTTTCCATGTTGCCGCAGTCAGTCTAACAGCTACTCGAATCGTGTCCAATTTGAACTTTAAATCGGCGAATCTTTGAACGCAAATATAGATTTCTGTTTCCGTGTTACAGAAATTTGTAATCCGAATTCTAAAACTTTTAAAATAATATAAAATTTTGAAATAAATGTAGAATTATGTATTGTTTACAAATTTTAAAAGAATATTACAAGATTCTGTATCATCATTACGAATTTCTGTATCACAGTGCCCGGATACAGAAAACTGTATCAAATTTGATACAAAAATCTGTATATTTTTTAGAGTGTACAATGTTATCGAATGATTAGGAAAGATTATTGATTGATTACAAGATGTTCTTAGGGCGCGGACGCGTAGGCCGCGTAGGCAACTCATATTCCGCAGCGAGAAAGTTGGTTCCTTCGTTCCACCAAAATCCAACCTCACCCCTTCCCCAGTTCCGGATCCGAGGATTTTTAGCCCGCCCTTCTGTTTCTAGAGCAAGCAGGCTTACGCAACCGCTCTCGTGTCCGTCCGTCTTTCCGTCGTCCGTGTAAGAGGAAGGAGATGAGCTAGGTCTACGAATTTCAGGGTTTCTTAGGAGTCACTCCTGGACACCGAAACGCTTGGTGCAAATCGTGGCAACCACCCGTAAAAGGGGGTAAGAAAAAAATAGGGATTGGTTCAAAAAGTGGGAAAAAAATATTTGGTTTAGGGTTTCCTAAGGGGTAACCCGTGAAAGTGAGGCGACCCCTCAGAACTAAAATTATCTTGCACAGTTTGGGCGCTAGAGTGGTTTTTCGACGAAAATACGGTGAACACGCTATATATATTAAGACGTGCACACACAAAACATACAGGAACAAAGTCAACTTAGATTTAAAGTCAATGTATCTCTATCAACGCCAGTGAGCACACTCTAAAAGCTTATGAACATTTTTATTCATAGCTTTACTAAGTTCTGTGTACGTGCTGTGTACGTGCTCTGCTTACGCATTTTTAAATACGCCGGTGTGAACAAATTTGTTCTTAATGGCGTATTAAAGAATGCATAAGCAGATCACGTACACAGAACTCAGTAAGTTATGAATAAAAATGTTCATAAGCTTTTAGTGTGCAGCACCCCCTCGCAGCGGTCTCGGAGGTCCCACTTGTTCACCTGCACCTTGGTTCGGGGATGCGTGAGTAACCATGTGCTCCGATCTGCAGTGCCACACTTTAACAAGTGTTAAACATTGCACGTCAATTGGCGTTTAAGTTAAAGTGTGCATTTTCTCGACACATTGTGGTGTCTAACTAGGTTACACGTCAATTGGTGTTTAAACTTCCGACACTTCCGAAACGTATAGAAGCTATACACCATGTGGTTTCTATTGATAGCATGAACTGTGTGTGTCCAAGTGTGCAGAATTGAAACGTTTACAAAACGTCTAGACTTTGCACACCACGCAAGTGTGCAACTTGAGTTAAACACTATTTAATGTGCAAAATCATGACTTGCACACGTTGGTGTGCAAATTATGAACATTTGTTTTACCGGTGCACCCGAAAACAAAAAGATTGAGCGGCGGTATCCGTTTATCCTGAACGCGTAAAAGTGACTTGATCTAAACCTGCTGGACCGTGCTACAAGCCCACACAATTTTCTGGACAATTCTGCAATGGACTAGGGCGCCATTCGGTTTCGTCAGAGTTCCAGCCTCGGTTGAATAGGCATGGTGTCATAGTTAGTCTGTCAGCAATTTGTCCTGTGTACACCTAGGGCCCAAAGAGAGCACTTGCAGCGCTTTTTTCAAAAATGGGGGGAGTACAACTGCCCTAGGGAAAATGTACTCCCCCGGGGGAGTACACTATCCCTACGGCAGTTGTACTCCCCCCCAATGGGGGAGTACACTATCCCTAGGGCAGTTGTACTCCACCTCCCTCGAGGTAGAGGAGTACAACTACCCTAGGGACCGTGTACTCCCCCCTGGAGTACATGGTCCCTAGGGTCAATGTACTCCACCCCCTTGTGGTGGGGGAGTACAACTGCCCTAGGGATAGTGTACTCCCCCCTGGAGTACATAATCCCTAGGGTCAATGTACTCCACCCCCCTTGAGGTGGGGGAGTAGAACTGTCCTAGGGATGGTGTACTCCACCCTATAGGGGGAGTACAACTGCCCTAGGGATTATGTACTCAGGGGGCCACCATCCCTGGGAGTACTATGTCACGGTTACACCAGGGTGGTAAAGCAAACAATTCGTTTCTATTACGAATGCTCAAAATCATTTGCAAGTCACGAATAGCAATTTTTCCTACACTCGTGAAACAGGGAAACCAGTAGATTTGGAAATATCCTAAGCGGTCCTTAACACTAGAACCGCGGCAGGGGTCATTTTGACCCTTTTCGATTTTCGATTTTTAATTTCTGTATTTAATTTTTTTCTCGTCGGGTTGAATATTTTTGACATCGTGTAAAATGATGACAAATGTATCGACACAAAGTCCCGAAGCTGTACGACTATTTTTGTGGAAGTTCTGAAACAGATATACCTAGGACCGCGGCAGGGGTCAAAATGACCCCTGCCGCGTTTCGCGTCGAAAATGCTGTTTTATCTAGATAAATACCACCTCAGAGCATGCACAATAATTATAGCAAAAAGCATTTAACGTACACATACTTGTTTCCAAGACCATCAACAGTGATAATTACTCCAAAAAATTCACATTTACGCGCAAAATGCGGCAGGGGTCAAAATGACCCCTTCCGCGGTTCTAGGTATGCGAAAATGTCAGCGGTTTTAGTGTTAATATGGAATTTCGTCAAAATTGCCTCAAATTAATGTAGCGTTTGTGGAGGAAATGGGTATTGCTGTTACATCGGGATCAGAGAGACAATGGGCTTACTATCTCTCTGCCAATAAACCAATGTGTAAAATCTCGCCGATTTCTTTAGTACGATCGTTCGTTGGAATGACTCGTTTTATCCCAATGAGCTGACTGGCAAATCATGCAGTACGACTCATACAGTGCGCCATGTGTGCTCGTACCGTACCATGTTTGTTAGTTCTCCGTAGAGCTGGTCGTTAGGCGATAGCGAGTTCGACTCAATGGTGTTGGCCAGCATTTCCGCGCCGTCCTCCTCCGTCAGAGGAATGATTCCACCACTCGACTGCAAGAAGCTCGTCTTTAGTCAAGTAACAACAACATTGCTTTAATATTGAACTGTCTGTTGCCGAACTCACGTTAACTAATGCTCCCACAGCAATAGCGTCGTATATCCTAGCGGTCCACCGTTCCATATCTTCAAGGTCAATTTTCATCCCGTCGCGGTTCATGTTCTGGTTTAAAAGAAAGAAGTAAAATGATAAAAACACAGCCAGTAAAGATTTCATCTTTAATTTTATCTGGTGGGAGGCCAGTCCTTTGAAAACGTTCCTGTTTCTGGAAAAAAAAGATTAAGTGATAGTAAAGAAGCGTTTGTCGTGGCAATCCAATGTCTGGTGTAAAGGATTATGTATGTCTTAAACCCAGAAAAGTTACGTTCGTTGTCGCAAAATTAGCACAACCTTCCGTTGATAGTTCATTTTGTTGTTTTCTAGTATCTTATTCGGTTGACTGTTCCACCACGACAAAAACGATAAATTGCCGGAATGTATATTAATTAGCCTGCTTTTGTCGCTCTGCGTGAAAACTATATAAATACTTCTCCGTTGGACTCAACTTTATTCTGGCGTCTTTTTGACTATTCAAACTGACCTGAAGCTTGGTGTTTGGGGGTCGTCCAGGCCAGACTCGAGATGCGACCAGCGTGTCTAGTTTTGGGTAGTACCCTTCTTTGATGGGCTCCCGTAGGACAAGACGCCTAGATCGAGGCAAATGGTGGGCAAGACGTTCAACATTGTGCCTGTAAACATGACGGAAAAATTAGCACCTCCCACAGCCTTCCACTGTTTCTAATAATAAGTTATAACTAATCACTACTATAGTAAATTGCTACTATAGTAGCCACAATTTTTAAAAAAATATTCTGAAACTGACTCCTACACAAATTTTAGTAATAACTGTAGATCCTTGGTTAGTACCTAATAAAAACCGAATAAATTTGACTCTGCCTCTAAAGTTAACGGCTTTTGGAGGTATTTCATAATTGCGATAACTTCTTTTGTGTGGAAGGGAATAACTCCTCTCGATAATTTGGTTCAACTTGATCCGTCTCATTTTTCTCATTTTTTAAACGGGAGACATCCCTTCTGTGACCTAGAGCGGTTTCATAAATGTCGCCGTAGTGTTTCTTTCTGGTCTGCTCTATGGAAGAAGAAAGCAAACTAGCATTTCAAACTGTTTACTTCTGAAAACTGTATGATTTTGCAGCTATGCCGTTTTCTATTTCTTGGATCAAACGGGAACTTACAAGGGCATCTATTTCTGCACATCTCTACTGTAACTGTTGAGGACCAATCGCTTTAATATCGCGGCAAAGGAACCATAAAGACTTTACAGGCTTCTTTTCGCTCCACAGGCAACTCCGTTTGGAAGAGGGACGGGGCCGGACCTGCGGAGTTGCCTGCAGAGCGATATGAAGCTGGCAACGTATGTTCGCGTCTCGCATGCATCAGTGTATAATACATATGCGTCGCGTCGTGGGTTTCTCACCGAGCTATAATTTGACCGTGCATATAGAACAGCAGCTCCCCTCGCCGGTGCATCTTTAACATCTCCTTGGGCTTTAGGTACTTAAAGTAGAAGTAGTGCCAGTGCATGTGGAACAGGTTCAATCCCACGTCTTCGCGATAGTAGGCTACGCGCTGCTCTTCCTCCACGTCACTGGCGGTGTACTCCATTGGGATCTCCAGCGGCGTCTGCAACGATTTCATTACCTCTAAAGATTTGGACCAAGGAAAATGTAATTTGCTGTGATTGTAATTCCAAGTCGAAGTGGTGTACGAGAGGTTATCAAATTAAGGGACATATTGCAGCGTTTGACCTGGAAGCGTAATTTTTGAGTGTACCTGGGTCTGCTTAGCTTCTCAGGTTCTAGAGCAGGTCACAAATCAGGTTCAAAATTAAGTTTTCTCAGTAAAATTAGAATTACATGATGTGAATAGCACTGAATATTTTCTGATTATCAACTTCACCATGCTCCATATTACTTACAAAACTTTTTGTAAACCCCAAAAAATTGAGTTCTTGAGTACTTGATCCTTGATTTTTCATATGCATATGTCTTGATTCAAGTGATACGTACTTGAAAAATCAACGATCAAGTATAAAGTACTTGATACAAGCACTCAGTTTCCGTTGGGTGCAACTTCTACTGATGTTGAAAGAAGTGAGACGGTCTGAACATAATGCTAGTAACGTGCTCAGGATGCGAAAAGAGTGAACCACTTTAGACAAAAATATGCCATTCCTCACGTGGTGAATCGCAGCGGCTGCTCGGATTTCCTCATCTTGTATCTTGTCTGCCATCCACCGCACAAAGGATGAGACATTGGTGAATGCGGCAAAGGTGCGTTGTTCAGGCATCCCCACCGACACGACACCGTGTAGGAACCACCTGCGCTCCCGGTTCTGGAAGACGAGACCACCGCCACTGTCGCCGTGCGCCACGGTGGTGCCTGTACCACGGCAGAGCAGAAAAGAACATTGACCCAACAGTACATCTTGGTCCTGAACTGCCTGTCTTAGCAGATCTTAATGAGATAACTAGAAACACGGAAATACTGACCATTTACAACACCGGCGCAGAACCTGTCGTTGGACATAACGTAAGGTACGAGTTTCGCTGGTATCGTTCTGAGACACCGTTCCTTCGGAACGTACGGCAGCATTGTTGACTGCAGTGTGTTGCTAATGGGCTCATTGCGCAGGTTGCCCCATCCCAACACCTGCCGAAAAATGCAATAGTTCAGCCAAATCCTGGATCAGGAGCAGGAGTACCAAGATGTAGAGATCAGAAGTGCTGCGCCAAGAAGAAATGTGGTTTTGAAAATTGCGTCACCAATATTACAATCTAGAATTATCAATGTAACTTACATTCGTTCGTGTTACGAAAAGTTACGGCCCTTGTTTTTCTGAAAACCGAACAGGAAGAACAGCAACTCTGACAAGATATATGCCACGAATGCCCCAGTACGGGTTGCGGATAGGTGTCTGAGAGTACCGAACCCGGTTTGCATTACGGTGGCCCCTAACTCATCGTAACTCGAACGAACATAACTCATTTAACGTACCAAAACACATATTAGATTAAAAGTTAAGGTTATTGATTTTGAAATATGTCCGTTCTTTATCATACAAACTGTAGGAAAAGAGTTGGACAAGTCGAATAATTAACTATTTTCTAAGGGACTACAGTAAAAGGTACAAGTTTAACTCTTAAAGTATCGTTAATGGTAGTTAAGGGGAGGCGTGGATCCAGTTAAAAGTTGGTCATTTTGGATAATAATGATCCTCAATGCATTTAATACAGTAACTGACTCATACTTGCAACCCATTCACATTTATGTATGCCACTAACACTTCTCGGTCAGACGAACACTTTTTCATTCACCTACACATTAAAGATACAGACTTCAGACAATACGTTTTCTTAATTTTGAGTTTCTGTGGGGAAAAAAATCGTTGCCCCCTACGTCACCCACCTGACCATCATAGAGACACCATTTTCACTGTAGCCTCCCTTTAAGTAATAAGTTACGGACCCCTGGTGGTCTCTTTAAATTTGCCTCTGGCCACATGTGCTCTGCAAGGGTTTGTTTTGCGAGTTGTGACGTGAAAGTACCCGTACTGCTCACAGAGGTTTCCCCAAGATGTTTACTCCAAATGTTCAATGTACTCACAGAGCCCATGTCACCTTCCCGAAGCCGACGCTCCTCGTGGCCCCAGTCGACACAGGCTGGCAGTGTGGCGGCCGTCAACTGAACGGGCGAATCCATTTCTACCAGCGTAATGTCCTTCACGTGGTTGAGCCGTGGCCCACCGTACCCATGTATGTGAATTTGAAGAACCTGCAAACAAGGAGATGGACGAGATCCACAAAAAAGAGTAGGAAAAAAGAGACAGCCCCTCCGCTAGTCCTCAAAGCTCCCCCATCAGATTTTTGTACAGCTCAAGTACCTACAACCGTCTACGACGAACCACCGCGGCTGGTTGAGAGGGAACTTTTCTCAGACTTCAGCGCCCGCGAAGTATTCACCCAGCAATGCTCAATTGGACAGTCAGTGCGTTTAAACTCAAAATCTACAATCTCTTCAATCAAATAGCTTTTGCCCAACATTAACGTACCTTATTTTTCCGTCATAGGCATGGACAGTCCAAAGTAAACATGCCAAAAACAAGGTGCCATAACAGTGATTTATGCTTTATTTTAATTTATAAATGACAATAGAGTCTGCTCGACGCCGTTTGTCGTCTGCGTCGATTTGGCAATGACACATAAGCCTGAACTTGATTTACTGTATCAAAACAAAGTCTACGGATTTTGTGGATTTTGGTTGTAGCTGCCCAGAGGCTATGACAGCGACAGCCTGGGCTCAATGCTGGGATCAATGCTTTTGTATTGGGTCCTGAGAAGAACAGCAAAGTTTCTCACTGGCCTTATCAAACTATTGTGAGTAATACAGACCATCTCATCAGCCCCTGCAGTGCTGCTGTTTCGGTTATTTAATAAAGTACTAGGTAATTGTTTAGTAGTCATTTGAGTGTAGGGTTCTACCGTATTTTCAGCCGGAACTGTTGAACAATTCTGTTGCAACATTATCACTCTGCATTTCCTTTCAATGAATGCTACCCTAATTTATTTACATTTTCAATACAGAATTGACTCGTACAAGTTTTACATAGTATTTCATTAGAAAAGAACGTCATTGATTGGCATTCTAAAAGGGACGGCAATATTTTGCGTTTTTTTTAATGCCAAATGTGAGAGTTTTTTATGCGCCAACTAAATTACAGTGTTAGAATCTGGGAATCATTGGTGCGAGGCCAAACTAATCTTACACTCACTTGTGCGAGGCACAGAGGATCTCGCAGCACTTGCTGACAGGTATGTTTGACTCTCAGCATTTGGTGTGAGGTATTTTTTTTCCTCGCACCAATAGGGTATTGGTCTAGAGCGCTGAGCAGAAGTAGAAGACTAAGAACGGAAAATGGAAAGGCGCCCGCACTCCTCCCCGGCCGGGCGCTCCCCTTCCGCTCAGTGGAGAAGAGGGGGACAAGAGCGGCGAATTTGTAATCCTCTAAAATAAGACTTAATCTTTTTATGAATGGTACAGGGCAAGACCGAAATACGATTGAACCCCTGCGCCACTTTTGGAGAAATGTCAAAGCTTAGCCTTTGGGCCCTTATATATGCCCAGGCCAAAAAACCTTGGGTCAGTTGTGCGCCTAGAAATACATCCGAACAACTTTTAGGCTTGGGACAGGTTAAATCTATTCATTTTCGTCCGATTTACACAAATTGTTAACATAGTTTGACTTTTATAGCCAAATTCCAAAATACATTACAGACTACCCCACTCTTCCCTACTTCAAAGTTTACGTCTAAAATCGAAAGGCGAGTAGTGCCCTTGGTGCATACGTACTCACAAGTTCCTTCTCTCGAATGCCAGATGTAAGTATGCTCACTCATGTCAGACAACTACACTCTAATTTTTAAACAGTAAAGTTTTGTTTTATATTGTATACGCACGTTACGAGTTTGAGCGTAGTTTTCTCTGACGGACCAGTTCCGGTTCAGTTTGCCCACAGCAGCTGCAAACTCCGACGCAGGCCGCAGTACAGCATCGGTTGAGGACGTGACGAAACAGTGAGCGGCTGGAACGCGAAAGCACTGCATTTAGACCGTGCTGAAAAGCCATCTCGTATCCCTGCTAAGTACATCTTTATATTACCTGACACAAAAAATTTGGTAGTGATTAGTGTTCCACCGCAAATCTGGGTGATCCCGCCCTTGTATCTCCGGTCATAGATGGCTACGTGCCAAGGAAACTCTACAGGGGAGTTCACAGGCTTACCGTCCACTACTAGGGTCTCGCCGTTACCGATCAGTCGCCCGCATTCTGAAAGAATAGAAAACCATAAAACCTATGTGGGCGTATAACAGAAAGTTTGCCTAGTCTAATGAGTGCATACGTATCTGGCGGATATTTAGCTACTTTCAAAATGTCTACTGATGGTGTTTGCTCACGACTCGAAAAAAATAGCCCGCCCTTCTGCGTTTAAAAAAGCATTAACGCGGGCTTATGCAACCGCTTCCGTCTCTCTACCTGTCGTGTATGTAAGAGGAAGGAAATGAGCTAGAGGTCTACAACTTTCACGGAATCTTAGGAGTAACTCCTGGACCCAAAAACGCCTGGTGCAAATCCTGGCAATAACTACCCCTAAGGGAGGGTAAGGGGGTAACAAAGAAATAGAGGGCGGACAGAACAGTATGAAAAATTATTTTTTATGGTCTCTATGTGGGAACTCGTGAAAGCTAGGTTTGTTAAGTTGGATATTGTTGCTTAATACCCTAATGTCGTCAGATTCCTAGAGTTATCCCACAGTCTGATCACGTACAGAGAATTAAGAGCGATTCATCCAAAAAAAGAGGCGTCGGAGTTTAGTCCAATGCTTCAATTGTCCCTGCTAGTGCAAGATACAGCTCTAAATCTCTGAATGTATTGAAACACCTCTCATACTCAAAATAAGTAAATTTCTGTTAAGAAAATCAGTTGAAAGTTTAAGAAACCTTTAAGATGTCTGTTTGTTGGCTGAGCGATTAGCGAAGCCTATTACTCCGTTTGGTCGGAAAAAACCTTTTTCTGTCTGTCTGTCTGTCTGTCTGTGTGTCTGTGTGTCTGTGTGTCTGTGTGTCTGTCCGCACGAAAACTCGAAAACGAATTGAGTGAGCGACCTGGGATTTTTAGGGTCGTTTTGTGTCACAAAAATACAGATCGAGTTCGAAAATGAGCATTCTAGCTCAAAAATTGGATTTAAAAAAAATCAAAAACAACAAGGCCCAAAAATGACGTTTTTTAAAAATATTTTTTTTATGGTTTCCTAAGGGGTGAATCATCAAAGTAGAGTCCTAAGGGCGAAAATTTTGTCCGTTTTGCTATAGCTCAAACCGTTGAGGCGCTAGAGGGCATTTTTAACGAAAATAAGCGAAATATGTACAACCCTGTATGCTTAGTCGAGGTGACGGGCCGTTGACGGGCCGCAGGCCCGTATCTTTGTGTACATTTTCCAACTACCCGACTCGGGTGTCAGCGCCGCAGGCCAAGGTAGATGTATGCCAGGCACGTCGCAGCGTGACAGTGTTTCGTGAGATATCGCGAAGCCTGTTACGCGAGACGTGATCTGGCGTACATCTACCTTGTACGATAAAATGACTTCTAGTCACTCAACGAGTGAATACCATTCTATTGTCTTCCAATAAAGTATCTGGATCTTTAAAAAGTTATCAAATTAAAAATGTAATCCCAGATTAAGATTCCTCTTCTAAAATTAAAAAGGGAATGTCTTATGCCCAGAGCCGATCAGAGTCGAAATGGAGAAGTTATTAGCCCTCTAATCACGACGGGTGAATTGCCATGGCCAAATTGGTCCAAATTGAACGTTTGAGGGATGCGTTTTGTTCGTTTCGGCGAGATACGACCTACTGGACGAAAACTGCCGTCAGAATTGACCTCCGACGCACCGTTTGGCAGCTAGGGGCGATTAAACACTTTTTTAAACATTTGAACATTACTCTGCCATTTCAATTCCGATCGTCTTGGAGTGTGAAACTATTTCTTTTTCTTTTGTCACGATAAATAAGAAACAGTGGTTACCTTTTCATATTCCTCCCGAACCACTAAACTACAACTACTAAAAATTAAACACTCGGTTTGACTACCTGACATTTTAATAACTGCTGAGAAGGTATCAATGTCTTCAGGTGAGCGCAGGAGCCACTTGCGCTCCCCCTCCCCTCGAGCGCCGTGCTACCAACCTACCGCCACCAAACTACGAATTCAAATTAAACGATCGTTTATTTCTAACATCTAATATCAAACTTCTAAACTAAACTCGTTACGTCTCGACGTATACTGAAGCTTCGTGCGCAGTTTGAAGTCAATTGAAGTCACCGTCTGAGAGAAACGTGGGTCAGTACAGACAGACGACAGACAGACACACGACCAAAGAGTTCTCTGCACCCCACATCACAGCAAAGGGTTTGCAAGCTCAGCTAAAAAAGATATAGATATAGATAATGTCATCCGAGTGTAGTTAAAGACAGCCTAAAACCACCCCTGTCCGAACAGGTCACCCCAAACTTAATACAACTGTAAAGGACGTAAATAGTACACTATTTTCAAAATGCATTTTTAGGATTTCTGACTCTGCATTATAGAATGGAACCTAGAGCAGGAACGGAGTTTGTTCGCAAACGTATAGGAATCAGGAAACGATGGTTGTTCCCGTCTCTACACCAGCTGGTCGCGTTTCTTGATCGGTAAAAGTTTATTTCTTGCCATACTCTCGTAAAGTATGGCTACCAACACTTCAGCTGAACCCGCTCCCATGGGTAAAAATGGTTTGTGTACAAATTTT